GAGCGCGCTCCGCCCATTGTGGGCGGGCCTCCGCCCACGTCATGTATGCTGGAAACACCTTAGACATTGCTCCCTTACACCAATTTGTTTTCTGCTCTGTAGGCTTTCTCCCAACCGAGTTATGAAATTTTTCATAAAGCACTGCTTTTTTAGAGAACCCCGCCCACCGGGGTGGGTCTCCCTAATTCGATCTGGCTTACCAATGCACACCTATACCCACTTTTGTCCCAGTCTCGAGGCTGTTTTGTGACTGAATTTGAAATCATGGTCTCAGTACCGTTCATTTCGATGCACGCCACGCCCACCGTGGGTGGGGCTCCGCCTAGCTGATGTTTTGGTCGAATCGATGGTTTCAAGTCCATAACGATCAGGGCCCCAACCGCGCATTTTGTTCGACAAAACTGGCTCGACCTCTGTAGTTACGGACCCAACACGTTCACTCAGAAAGTGGTTCCTACTAGTGATCCTCTTTCCGGGGGGTTGTCTTTTAATGAATGCGCGAGATGGTTTGAAGAAAATTGGATTGAGAATTTGCAAAGGAAACTTCCAAAAAAATGGGAACAATTTCTTAAGGTTCCTGCACTTCAGGTAATTGTTTCTGGAGGGTTTAGGTCGTCGTAACGCTATCTTATCAAATAATCGTGCGTGTCTGCCAGAGCTGACCTGATCTTGAATGAGTCAGAAAACTTAGATCGGAGTAGGAAAAGTCGTAAAGACTACAGCAAGACCGAATAAGAGATTGGATTGGAGATGGACTCATAAGGGCAAACTCACGTGGTGCAGTTGAGAGACAGTGTTGTTAATTGTAATCGCGTCATATGTTTCTCCAAAGAAGTACTGCATAAGCTGGTTATTCTTGAGGAGAGCAGCGATTTTAATCTGTGAACTGGCCAAACAGATATGATGACAGACGACCATTGATGGTCCACAATTCCATGATGTAAATCGCGCGCGAAACTCCGTCGAAAATGTCATCTAAAAAGCATGAAGACTGTAGTTGCGTTGAAGGCTCGGTCGCGCTTATGAAATTATCCATGTCATCTATTGACGTTCCTTCTCCTTTACCACTTGATAAGGGAGACACAAAAGATCAGGCTCATGAGTGATCGGGGATGGTAGTAAAGTGGCCTGAGCAGCCAGTTAGGTGGCCACGGAGTCACGTTGACCCCGTCTCAGTCCGTTCTTAAATAGCGGTGGGAAACGATGGAGCTCACGTCACCTCAGATGGAGGGCGGGATCTAAACGACACCCATAAGGGAATCCTTCGCGGAAAAATCTCTTCATTCTTTTCCAACATACATATGTCAGCTGTGATCACTAGAGACAACATACAAAGTTTCACGCACAAAGATTCAGTTTCCGAAGAGAAACAAACTTACAAAAACCACACTCTATGGACAATCGAAGGTAAGTGGCGCGGAGCCAAAGGCGGGGCATGGAAGTTTGCCTTGGGCGGCTACGTATCAGGCGACGCAATGAAAGAATCGGGTTAAAGCGTGCGATTTCTGGAGAGTAGAGAAAAATCGATTGATAGAATAGGATGCAGTAGAAGTTTGCGTCTCGCTCCGTATGGATTTCTTGGGAATGCAGGATGGGTGAAGCAAGGAGCGCGTTGTAGATGGACAGAAGAGAGCCACTGAAGCTATCAATAATATCGATATCTGCCCGCCAACAGGATGATCAGCTGTTCCAGGCTGTGATCCACTTTTGTTCGGGTCCTAGTTCCTTTGTAGGGCATGGGAGCATTTTGACCCACGCGCAATCTCACTGGCTGATCCCATGGCACAGACACTGACAGACAATTGAGTTTACCGGTTCTTTCGTCGTTGGCTTTGGTTCTGTCACGGAATCAGTACTCCGGGGTGCTCAAGGTGCTGCAACCCTCATAAGGTTATAACTTTGTTCTTAACAACGCAAAACAGAAATGCTTTGTAAAGCGTTGGCAAAGGTTGCGCTCATTCCGGCTTATTACTTGTCAGAACTAGATATGCACTGGCTCGGAAACTCTGACACCTTAAAGCAAGCAGTCCAAGCAGGGTTTCAACCATTCGTCTTAAGGGGTGGAAACATGCCACAGCCCTAGTCAAGTTACATAGGAAATGTCACTGATTTGAAAACTTACCTTTGAAAGGCGTTGGAAGGGGTCTAACGCCTTCGAAGTGGGCGGATCCACCGAGCCTCGGTACGGCCGCCCACTTCTGTCGTGAAGAGTGCGTGATTGGCTGCGCAGACATTTGCGGTCGTTTCGGGACCACCGGGACTATTTGAGGTAGATCCTTGAAAGCAATCGATATGGTGATGCCAACTGTTTTTGCCCGCAAATTCGTACTTGGATTGTTGCTTTAAGGCCGGCATTTGTACGCAAGAAGCCTATTTAGTGTAAGGGACAGAGACCAATGACATGAAATTAGTCACAACCCATTTCGATGCCATCATTACCGATTCTGTTGAGGACCATTATTTGATGAGAAACACACAAAATACCCAGCATATTACGAACTGCCCAACTTTTTCTAAGTTGGGTTGAAATTGTCTCCTATTTGATTCCTGGAATTTCCCACATTCAGAAGCTTTGCTACGATCCTGTGTAATGATCACCAAAATGGTATTCATTTGTGCAGCCAGATTCATCCAGCGTGGCCCCAACGCCGCAACTATCTTCCACCGTTTTAAAGATCAACCACTCCTCATAGAAGTTATTGATGACACTGACACGCTATCCACTGCCTTTCAAAAGACTAGACTCTCTCCATCTGCCGTCGATGTCAACGAAACACTTGAACGGATTCTTTTTATATTTTCATGAGCTATATTTCAGGGCAGCTGCATTATACACAGTAAATATACTTGGTAATATGACCAAATACGGATTCTTCCGGCCTTTTTTTCCTGAGGAAAATCTGGGCATTCAGAGTTCCTTAACACATTGGCGACTGTGTCGCCCGATGCCGCTTGAGTTCTACTCCTTTGCGCATATTCCAAATTTTGAGCGGTGCTATATTAACCCGGAATACGTTGTCAAACTTGTAATGGCCACGTTCTTTGAACATCTTTCACAGTGAAAGTTTTACAGAAGGGTTGCTTGGAATTGCTTCTTCAGTGATAAGGTTGTTCTTTCTTGATGTAGAAAGCTGCCTTTTTGTATGCTATTAGCTAGCTCAATGATACAACAATTGGCAAAAAAGAGATTTGTGTTCAACCTCATTTGTGGATTCTACAGTGGAAAATTGGAATTTTCCGAGAGCGTTCCGAAGTTTCACCTTTGCGGGACGGGGAGATTTTTGCTTGGTTTGCAGCCATTAAGCATTTGTACGAGACAAATGATGTTTCAGCAGTTTCCGCATTGTGTTCTCATTGATTTGGTATGTACACCGTATGGAAGCGTTTCAGCATTAGGACGCAATTTTCGAGAACACCCAAAAATTGCTTGGTCGCCAATGTATTAACGGTGCACTCATCTAAATTAATAACAAGAACAGTCACAAAATTTCAACTTTCCCTCTCCCCTCAGTTGTCGCAATAATCTGTTCGGCACGACGTAAATTGTGTACGAGGTATCAATCCAACTGTTCTTCTGCATTGTCCACTGAGGTTAGGGGGAGAGTTGAATTTTTATGTTTCCCTTCACAGTTTTTAGGGTTTCAGGGACATGACATCATTGAATGCGGCATCAAGACAATAGGTCGATCTCTGTCTCGATCACGAAAATCTCCCTCAATAAGAGTTAAGCAGGATTACGAGAATCAGAAGACCAAGTAAACATTCTGAAAGGCGTGGCGTCAAATCTACCACACTATTTTTGATTCTACGAAGGCTGCGCGACTGCTATGAAAAATTGGCATCTGCTGTCTCGAAAAAGCTCTGTTCACTGTGTGTTCAAGTCGTCTTTTTGCATTAGGCAAAGATAATTCTTAGTCACGTCACATGCATTATACAGTGCACGTGCGAGGATTATAGAGCCTTTTTCATGAATGTATTTAGGCTGAGAGCACCAATTTTAAAATACGAAGAGCACATCACACTGCCATGATGTCCTCTTCATAGTTCGAAAACAATGCGTAGATTCGCGGTGTTATTATCGGGGTGTAGGTCACCCCATCTGGCTTGTTAGAGAGGAATCATTCTTATAACAAAACACACCAGACACGCCAGTTGTGAGCACTCCAGGCTAGGACTCTCAGTGGGTATTGGTTCTCCTTCGGCGCTCGTTAAAGGCACGAGTCAGGATTGAATTGATGCGTTATTTTGTTCAAACATTAGGCAAGGGGTGCAATGAGGAACATTAGTGAGGAGAAAAAGCAAAAAGCACCATAGAAAACTCTAAATTTCGGCACTATTCAACTATTACGACCCCAAAATCTCAAAATTTTATTTTTCGTCGAAACTTCGCCTATAGGGGTAATTCGGTGCCCTGATTACGAAAATGAGGTTCATTTTGGCGCTGGCGCCATTTTCCATTCTCCTGGGTCCTCTCACTTGTACATAATACCTAGGACTGAGCCTAGAAGGAGGGAGGACTCCGGGGTGGGTGAACCAGTCAACATGTGGCAAACGTTAAAGCGTATAAGATCACAGGATAAGTGTTATTCACTTCGGAGCACTCTCCTCCTCAAAGGCTTAGTCCCGATCGCGAGGTGATCAGTGAGAGGGCGCAGACGAGCGGAAAACAGGCGCGCACAGGCGCTGGAGATAAAAATGAATGTTATATTCGTGATCCCGCGCTGCGAGGAGAGCGAGAACGCGAGATAGTACGTCATACGTGAGAGACGCAGAGACCACGTATGCCGTGGTGGATTACGCTGGCAGCGCGGGCAGCGCGGCGGGCAAGGCCTTAGCGCCATTGCCGCGCACTTTTGGGTCGCGATAGTGTCGCGCCCTCAGTGCTTGGGGAGCCCACTATCGCACCCTGGGAAGAACTTCTGCTGGTTGCCTAATCCTGACTCGTGGCTTTAAACATTACCATGCTACCGTTCTATCAGAGTAGGTTCCTGCTTAACCGTTTATCTGGGCTTGCCCTCCTCAACCTTAACTCATTCACTTCCTTGAATTCTGGAAACGGAATGCAGAGAACTTGCAAACAAACCACTTTTGTAATCTCTCCAGCTATTGTATACGATGAGTTCGAAAAATTCTGCGCACCTGGCACAAGACTTTGCGCTTGTATTGTTGTGTATCCATTACCCTGAATTATGTCTTTCATTGAAATCTGAACAGAAACTTTTTCGTAGCAGCGAAAAATCGTTGAAGGCGCTACCTTTGCGCTCATAATACGCGACGACGTTTCATCCAACTGAATGCAAAATGTGCTAAGGAAATCTTGAATGTTCAGAAGATATACGGCAACGATTTGTTGATTTTTCTCCAATAGTAGGTCATACATGCTGAGCATATCATCAGCCTGAAGTAGAAAGCAGTAATGAGAATACTAGAAATGATTTTCTTTATTTGTTGTTGTCAGAATCATCTCATCTCAATTATGTATTTTATTGCCGAAGGAACAAAGACTCATTTCCTCAAAAGTTGCAAATTTAAGATGGAAATCTAAGGTTAGGCCAAAGAAAATTCATCTAGTTTCTGTGAAAAGGCCGTGATGATTTTGCCAAGAGTATTTCTGGAGATCCATTCCCTAATTGGCATTTGCCCACCCTTCCCAAAAAGAACAGGTGGATCGTTTCTGTGTACCTGAAAGTTTGTGGCGATCTTTGTGAGGTGCATCTTGTCAAGGAATGAAAATAGAGCTCACCTCTTGTTCATTTGACAGTGATGAGGTCGTGGTCGCACGCTTGGTTCGCGATGAGGAGGAGGACGACGTCATTCCAAGAATGCTTCTATAGTGCTCCAGCACTAATATTATTCCTTCAAGTACCATTGGTGAAAGGTCGTTCATAATTCGAGAAGTTGAATACAGCACCTCTTTGTAGTCGTTTGTATCGCTGAAATGCAGCCGTTTATTTCAATATTTGCTAGGATTATTTTTTTGAGCGAATTCCTTCCTTTTTCGAGAAGACATAGAATAGCGAGTTTCAAACTTGCTGGATCTGTCATTGTGAGCAAGTCTCTCGCACGAATTAAATTGCGTAGGAAATTCCTCAGGAACTTAGAACTTACAAGCATGACTATTTCAAGCAGTCACGCATCTCTACCGTTTGGCGTCTGTTGTTTCGCCACCCTTTCCACCCTCTCCTTCACCCTCCTCCCCCACTAGCTTCGTCGCTTGTCTTTTTCTGTCTTTTGTCTCGCCACCGCATCAGAAGCCTCGTTGACTTCTCTCGTCCTAGACTTTCCTACTCTCTTGAATGAAGATCTATTAAGAACATTTTCAACTGCTTCTTGTATTTTTTTCTTTCTTCTACGGGCAGGCTTAACGAATAAAACCAGAATGACTATTCTCAGGTCAGATGATAGACGTTTTTTCGCAACCTGTTGTTGAATCCAGCAACCGTGATCATTGGCTTCTTCATTTTGGAGAGCTCATTTTGGAGAGCAATTTGGGCTCCAAACCCTTTCATAAAAAAACTGAAAATGCCCCTGTTACAAGGAGATGAAGATATCCCGGGCAAGGAATTTCAACCGAGAGCATCTTCTTCCTGTCAGCTCACCTGAGATCATGTGGGCATGTTTGGCGAAAGCACAAACCTGTTCATGGTGGCTGAACGAATTGAGATTTCCGCGCAGGAACAGCACCAGATGGTAAGACGACGTGTTTAAGGCAGGAATAGCCGAGTGGTTAAGAGGTCAGACTCATGTCTGCACCTTAGAAAGACCGCGAGTTCGAGCCTTCAGGAGACGCGATGGAAAGGTGCTAAGGCCAGGGAAATCGGGGAAGGTGTCAAGCTCTACTACAATGGAGAAGACACCAAGCGGAACGGTGTGGCCATAGCGGTAGCGGAGTCGCTCAAGGACTATGTCTCCGCTGTGAACAGGATCAGCGATCGGATCATGGCTGTGAGGATAGACACGAAGGAGGGGTACTGGTCAATACTCTCCGTGTACGCACCGCAAGCCGGATGCCCCGAAAGTGAGAAGGACGAGTTCTATCTGAGCCTGGACGAAGCCATAAGATCGATTCCGGAAGGCGATTACCTGACCATAGCAGGTGATCTGAATGGTCACGTCGGCAGTGACAGAAGAGGCCAGAAAGGGTGCACGGAGGTAGAGGGATAGGAACGAGGAACGCTGAGGGAGAGAGGGATCAAATTGACTACACTATGAAGTTGGACACTATGAAGTCTGGACCTGGCTACAGCCCACGACTTGGCAGTCTGCAGCACGTTCTTCGCGAAAAGGGAGATCTCAAAAGGTAACCTACAGCAGTGGAGGGAGACAGACGGAAATCGACCATGTGCTGGTAAGAAGATCATCCCTCAAAACTGTGAAGGATATCAAAGTTCTACCCGGCGAAGATCTGGCTCCCCAGCACAGGCCCCTCCTGGCAGACATTGCCATAGACCTCCCCAAGAAGACAAGGGTAAGAACCGAGAGGAGAATCCGGTGGTGGAAGTTGCACCAAGCAGAGAAGAGCGACCTCAAGCGAAGGATAATGGAAGTTGGTCTCCCAGATCCTGAGGGACCAGTGCAGCAGACTTGGGGCAATGCAGCTGAGAATGCGCCAAGGAGGTACTGGGCGAGACGCGAGGTGGATTCAGAGGAGACAAGGCAGCGTGGTTCTGGAACGAGGAGGTCCAGCGAGTCGTGAAGCAGAAGAAGGAAGCATACAAGCGCTGGCAGAAGACCCGGAGCCCGAGGACCTCGCTACCTACAAGAGTTGCAAGAGGCTCGCTAAGGCTGCCGTCGCCAAGGCGAAGAACACGGAAATGGACGCCTTGTACGAGAAGTTGGAAAGCAGAAACGCAGAGAAGTTCGTCTTCAGGCTGGCTAAGGCCCGGCATCGGCTACTCAAGACATCAGGGTGGTGAAAAGTGTAAAAGGCAGCGATGGTGTGAAAGCCAGCCGAAGTCAAGAGGTGGGAAGAGTACTTCAGTCTTCTGAACGAGGAGTTCCCCCACAAGAACAACTCACGGGCAGAGGCCACAGCTGGTCCCATCGCACTCTGGACAGAGGATGAGGTTAGGTGTGCACTTGGGAGGATGAAGGTTGGAAAGGCGGTTGGTCCAGATGGGGTGCCAATCGAGGCATGGAAGGCGCTCGGAGAGTACGGCATAAGGTGGCTCACCAGCTTCCTGAACAAGGTAACAGTGGAAGGAAAGATGCCGGATGCATGGAGGACAAGTACCATCGTCCCCATCTTCAAACAGAAGGGTGACGCGATGGACTGCTCCAACTACCGCGGGATCAAGTTGACTGCATACCATGAAGTTGTACGAGCGACTGGTCGACTCGAAACTGCGGGAGCTGGTCCCGATCTCCCAGGAACAGTTCGGGTTCATGCCCGAAACAACGGATGCCATCTTCATCGCCAGGCAAGTGATGGAAAAGTATCGAGAAAAGCGCCGACCCTGCTACCTAGCCTTCCTCGACCTGGAGAAGGCGTTCGACCGCTACCGCGAGCAGTACTATGGAGAGCGCTCAGGGAACGAAACGTGCCAGAACACCTGATCTCGCTGGTGAAGGACATGTACGAAGGAGCCAAAGCAGCCATACGCACCCCTCACGGCCTAACAAAAGATAAACATCACGGTTGGGGTGCATCAAGGGTCAGCTCTGAGCCCCTTCCTCTTCCTCCTAACGCTAGATACCATGGTGAAGGGCCTCATGGAAGGACCACTGAAGACCATCCTCTACGCTGACGACATCGCCCTGATAGCGGATAGCAGAGAGGAACTTCAGGCCAAGGTGCAGAAATGGCAGAAGTCCTGGCAGAAGGTGGGCTCCGGCTGAATGTCAAGAAGACCAAGTTCCTGAGCTCCGAAGAGGGTGCAGAGCCGATCGTGGACGGCCATGGTGAGACCATCGAAAGAGTGGAGGACTTCCGATACCTTGGGAGCGATCTGGCAGCCGACGGTAGTGTGGATCAGGCAGTGAAGGCTCGAGTCAACGCTGCATGGATGAAATGGAGGGAGTCCACTGGAATCCTCTGCGATCGAAGGTGCTCCAGAACGCTCAAAGGGAAAAGTGTACCGAACAGTAGTTTATAGCGCACCTATGGCCTTCTTAATATTTTACTGCTTGCCACCACCATGGAGTTTTCTACCAGTAATTTCTCAGATGCCTTCTTCTGGAACTGAAACCCAGCTACACGCGAGCTATTCCATAGCATTGACTTCATTGACGCTAAGGCGTTGTTCGCTACTGAACTTAACCAGCTGAGGACCATGGGACCTTCGATGAGATCTCCCCACTAGCTGTGATTTCCATCCAGCACATCATCACCAAAATTACTTCTACTGGAAAGAATTAACTGAGTCAAACAAAGCACCGGCTGCTCTCCATGATGAAAGAGACTCCCTATCCTGTAGAGAACCACCTCAACCTTGACGCGTCCTCATGTTCCTCGAGCTGAATAATTCGACACGACCCGTTTTGTGGTAATTTGTACGAATTTGTTCCTAATAGAGAGAAAGTCTAAATCGTTCAGGTCACTGAGAGCTGACGTTGACGTCACTGAGAGCTGATGTGTCTTTATTAATAAAAGCCACAGAATCGCAAATGAGTTGACAAAACCAACAATTTTCACCGGTAAAGTTTTCTTGCCCAGGATGCCTTCACAATTTTGAAACAATTAGCATTTTCAAATTTTCTTATGAAGTCATAGTAGGTCATAGGCCTTCTGAATCAATGTAGACTACAGTAGCTTTAGTGCATTCAGAATTCAATAGAGTTGATAGGAAGTCATGAATTCGACATTATAATGCGGAGCATTGCTTGGGAATGCGTTCATAATTTGAAGCGCAATGTATTAGGTTGAATCATAAATAAGTGCCGGTTTCTTCACACCCGCGCATCTTTCTTTTCTTTCATGTTTTTGTTGTTTCACGGAAAGGAGTACTTAGCGTCCTATCACACATATAACGAATTTTTCACATATAACGAATCTCGCCCTAACGTTTTCGTCCTTGGGGAAAAATAATGCCGTAGATTTCAACACATGTCCGTCACTGACTACTTATCGAGTTCCGTCTGGGGCCTCGAGCAGGAGCTGTGGGATTATTTGTGAATCTGGAGGACTAGATTCGCTAGAAGAGACAGCATCTGTTGAATTGGTTCGAGAAGCTCCGTCAAGGCGTCTACGACCCTGAAGACCGACCAAGTGCGCAGTCTACTCAAGCAACATATGGAGGCATCAGTGGGAACATGCAGCTCAGCAACAAAGCAAAAGACAACGACCCCAATTGGTGAACTTTATCCGGAGAAGGTTCCGCTCTCCGATTGCAGGATTGCATCATTACAGATTTTGAACAATACCACCATTGTTGGCGCAGACACTTCCTGTTTACAGCAAACTTGCTTCTTGCTGCTGCAAAGTT